CTCCCTCACCCAGGAACACGGTCAGCTCATGAGTCACACAAACTATGGCACATTCTTTGGAAGGTGCTGGTTCCTAGACTTTCGGGTTTCCCAGGCTAGGGACTCAGCAAAGAGAGTTTCTGTTTATTTCCCTATTTTAAAAGTTTAAAAATTACCAACATCTAGCACAGTGATCCATAAAAAATAAATATGAGCTGGGCACGGTGGCTCATGCCCGTAATCCCAGCACTTTGGGAGGCCAAGGCAGGAGGATCGCTTGAGGCCAGGAGTTCCAGACCAGCCTGGGCAACATAGCAAGACCCCTATCTCTATTCAATCACAATTAAAAAAAAAAAAAAAAAAAAAGGGAAGAGGAAATTCCATCCTAAAACTAAAGGCAGGAACAGAGCCCCGAGAGTCAGCGCCACCCCGCCCCGGGCTCACCGTGGCTCAGGAAGAAGCGGGCGAGGGGCAGCAGCACCCGCACAGAGGCCGGGTCCCCGCGCACCCGCCCGTGCAGGGCCTTCAGGCAGGAGAGGCTTCGGTACAGGAAGGACGGGTCCTGCCGGCACAGCACATCCAGCACCAGCACAGCCTCCACCAGGCACTGTGGGACACACGCCACATCAGAAGGGCCGAGTCACCGCCTCCCATCCCCCCATCCCCAGCCACTTACAGCTTTCTGCAGGTCGGAGTCCCCCTTCCTCAGGGCCCCTGGAAGGAGGGGAAGAAGTCAGCCGGCTCTGTCTCAGCCTGGGAGCAGCCCAGTAAGGGGCAGCTTGTGTCCTGGAAGCTCCAGGCAGGACCAGGAGCAGAGCAGTGGGACAGGCCCCCAGGAGGACTTGAGTGGGACTGAGGCTGAGGGGCCCAGGCGGGACAGGGCCGGGCTGGGGGCTGGGGTGGAGCCCGAAGAACACTCAGGGCTGACCCCAGAAGCAAAAACAGGCCTGCTCCAAACCGGCCACCCAGGATCCCGCTCTGTGGAGAAGCAGCTCAGGGAAGATGTGCAGCCTCAGGTCACCTTGCAGAGCAGGTGGAGGCCAGTGCCCTGGGCGGGGGACTCACGTCGGTTACTCTGCTCAATGAGGCGCTGGCAGTACTCGAAGGCCACCTCCCGAAGCCGCTCCCGGGGCGGCAGCAGGCGGCCGGCGGAGGAGGAGGTGGCGGAGATCACCGACAGCGTGGAGCCCTCCTGCTCTGACCTGTCATCTGCAGGAGGAGGGAACCTCAGCAGGCCGATGTGTGGCTCCCGGGCTGGGACATGCCCGCTGCCCTGCTTGGAAGAGCAGGAGAGCACAGGCCACAGCCCCTCCCAGGGGACGTGAGGCGTCACTGTCTTGGGACGTCCACCCACCCAGCAGCTTCCCCATCACGGCCGCCCTTCAGGGTAGCTGAGGCTTCTTCCCCAACAAGTCCACAGAGCAGCTGGGAGGAGCTCACCGGCATCACCCCAGCAACCTTAAGGGAGCCTGCCTTAAACAGCGGCTCTGACTTCTGCACATCGCGTGAGGATCATGAGGTGTCCAGAGGATCCCCAGTGCTGACCCTGGGCCCCAACGATGCTGGTCAGGGAGTGTTCTCGGGTTAGCTCCAGGTCAGCAGGCTGCACTGCCCAGCCCTGACCTCTGCTGTGTCCTGGGCACACCTGTGTCCCTCCCACCTCCGCCTGTGTCCCCGTCGCGCCCAACCCACAGTGCGCCTGCCTCCCACCGCTGTCTGACGTCGGCCCACCCCCAGCACACCTGTGTCCAGGGTGCCCAGGCCCTCGGGGCCACTGTGCAGCAGCCACGCCCGCAGCATGGAGAAGGCCTGCACGTTCAGCCACTGGTCCTCCGTGAAGCGGTGGCCGGTGGAGAGCACCGTGAAGAAGTCTGTGGCCACCGCCCCGTCCATCTCGGTGATGGGGCCCGGCTGCGGGAAGGACGGGCGGGGGTGGGTGGAGGTGCCGAGGCTGGGAAAAACACCAGCCTTTAGTACGAGCTCCTCAGGAAGTGGAGGGGAAGCTGCCTGCATGTGAGCCCGGGCAGCGGCCCGCCCTGTGTGATATAAAAACACCGTCCCCACTTGACCCCAGGCAGACGCGCATCGCACATGTGAACCCACGCGCAGACCCCCGGAGCCACGCGGGTCGGTGGCTGCGGCCCCGCCTGACCCAAGCGCCTCCTGCAGCAGAGGCAGGCTTGTCCTGGACCCTGTGGAATAATAGCAGGCGCCGACAGGGACCTGTTAGGCAGGGCTGGCCAGAGCAGGCACAGGCGCCGACGGGGACCTGTTAGGCAGGGGTGGCCAGAGCGGGCACAGGCGCCGACGGGGACCTGTTAGGCAGGGCTGGCCACAGTGGGCACAGGAGCTCCCGGAAAGGGGTTGTCTGTGACTCTGTTCCCCACAGTTCCGGAACAGTCCCGGCCTCACACGCTCACCTGCCGGGCCCTGGGTGTAGAGAAGAAGCTGCTGGAGTGCGGGAGCCCTTGCTGGAGGCTAGCGTAGCGCAGCCAGTCGACCAGCCGCTTGCTGAGCAGGGTGGCCTGGTCTGCAGTGGGTAGAGTGGCATGGGAGGTGAGGTTAAATCCTATGGATGCCCGGGCCATTGGGATGCTGGCTGATTTTTCTCTGAAAACAGAATCCTACAACGTCCCAGGTCCTTGGGCCTCCCCATGCCCCCAACTCGCTCCCCACTCCCAACCCACCACGGGCCCTCAAGGAAAGACCCGGGAAGGCAGACCCCAAAGAGCCTCTTGGGAGGGGCCCCACGTACCCTCCTGGAGGGTGCCCGGGCTGAGGACCACGACCTTGGCCATGATGGGGAGGAGGTATCTGAGGCTGGGCCCCTCAGGCTGCCGGCTCTCCAGTGCTCGCAGCACGCCCTGGCCCACAGCACTGACCTCCTCATTTCTGTCACCCTTCAAATCAGACAGGGCAAGCGCTGGGGTACTGGCCTGTGCCGGAGACCAGCTCCCCCAATTTCGGAAGTCTGTGTGACACTCCTGAGAAGCATCGGTTCCCGATACCCCGGTCCAGCAGGTGGCAGGGAGGATGTCACGCCCAGGCCCACCCAGGGCCGCAAGGTGCCTGCTCCACCTCCAGCCTCTTTCTCTGGGAGCTGCATCGCTGAGGCTGGAGGGGGCCTGGGTAGGGGCATGGCCGATTCAATGCTAAAAACACAATGGTGGCCACCATGGGCCTGGTCACAGCCACAGGACACCCCGTCCTGCGGGGCCTCCAGTGTGGAGTCCCAGTCTTTAAACCGCCCACCTCACTCCGCACACCCAGATGCTGAAACATCTGAGCAGCACCAGAGACAGCCAGCACAGGGGCAGGGCCATCAGGGGAGGGAGGAGGGCGCCTGGTGGCTGGGAGGCCATGTGCCTGGCGGGGGGTGCACCGCTGGTGCCTGGCAGCAGTTTTGCAAGATCATCTTCCACTAAAAAAAAGTGAGAGTTGCATGAGGAAAAGGGCTGGTGAAATGAACAAGAGCCGGAGTCATCTTGTCCCAAAGGCGAGGAGCCACCACAGCATTACCGGGGTCATCTCGGAGGCCTGGAGGTGGCCTGCAGGGGCTCTGTGAGGTGAGGGGGCTGGGCACCAACCAGGACACCCTGGGTACGCTGGGGCCCACAAGCTCTCGCCCACACAGAACTAAAGCAACCGCAGGCTGCACCCCAGCACGGGAGGTGGGTCATGACGCTGCAGGCTGGGAACGGAGGGAAAACCCCGGCTCCACCGCAACCTTCCAGCAGACTCTGCACCCCTGGCAACCCATGCCCACAGACAGCCTGTGAACCCCTGAATCCCCACGCCGAGCATCCAGGCCTGCTCACCACACAGAGGGAGGGAGGACATGGACTTGGCAAAAACTCCCGGCCGAGGAGGGAGGGCTGCTACCCAGAAGATCGAGACCAGCCTGGGCAACACAGTGAGACCGTGGGACCCTACAAAAAATACAAACATTAGTGGGTGTGGTGATGCATGCCTGTAATCCTAGCCACTCAGGAGGCTGAGGCGGGAGAATTGCTTGAGCCAGGGAGGTCGAGGCTGCAGTGAGCTTTGACCACGCCATGGCACTCTAGAATGGGCAGCAGAGGGAGACCCTGTTTCTAAAAAGCAAAGCAAAACTCCAAAAAGAAGGTCTGGAGGCCCAGCCTCCCCTGACTCACTCTCTCAAGGCCGTGTCTGAGAAACCGAACTCCACCACCTCTACTGAGTTCCGCTTACACCAACAAATCCTGTGGTCTGAAAACTCCTGGAATGGGGCCCGGGGAGCTGAAGCCTGCTGCTCTATCAGCATCACCAATGCCACCCTTACACGTGTCTAGGAATGTCACCAGAGCAGCCCAGGCTCTGTACCCTCACGGAATCTTCAAGAGAGCACCGGATGGCTGCTTCCCAAGGAACAGGGGAGACAGGAAGCAGGGGCGCCGGAGCCGGCAGGTGTCTGCTTCTTCTAGACACAAGTCGGTGCTGAGTGCCTGGCACACTTGAGGCTGGAGCATGCCCTGTTGACTGGAATGGGTACGCAAGCCCAGCAGGCCCATGTAGCATGTTGGTGCCCGTGAGGGGACATAGGCCGGCCTGCTGGCTGCACCCGAGGCCCCGGGACCCCTGGGGCAGGACGGCCAACTGGGCTGGTGACTGCTGCGCTACCTGGGCCAAGAGCACGGAGGCCACCAGGTTCAGCTGCCGGCTGTTCTGGGTGTGGTCCCAGACCAGGCTGAGGCTGTCGGAGGGGGACATCTCTCGCAGGATGGCGGCGCAAAGCACCTGGAGCTGCTCGGGACACGTGGCCAGGCCGAGAGTGGCCTGCAGCAGGTCTACACATGTCTTCTCCAGCCTGGAAGGTGAGATGCCCGTGGGGGGCGGTGACACGTCACACCCGTGGCAGGAGCACCCCGCACCCCAGAGCACCTGGCCAGGCACCCCTGGGCCAGTGGACAGAGCGTTTTACGTGAGGACGGACCTTCAGCGCTGGTTTAAGTGGGCAAATGACTCAACCCCCCAAGGATCATCTGCAGCGACCTGCTGGGCGCGGGCCAGGTTCTCCTGGGGCCGCTGCGTGAGGAGCCGACCTGAGCCGTGGCCGCACTCACCTCCGGTTGTACTTCGTGGCTGAGATGATGAGGAAGAGCCTCTGCAGGGAGTCAAGGGTGTCCGGCCCCAAGTCCTCCGCCTGCAGCAGTTTACTGATCCGGGAACAGAACTTCTTCAGCTCCTCGTCCTGGATCTCCCTAAACAAAGAAGAGGACTTCAGGACCCAGAAGCACTCACTGCTCAGAACCAAAAA